TCTACATTCACTACTTTTGTTACTGTTGAGACTTTCTTTATTGCTTATGAAATCCATAAAGTTTTACGTGCGTCCAGTGTTGCCCAGCTTACTTCACTTCCCACTCGCCAGCACTTACCAAACTATAAAACTATGAACAATGAAAAATAGAAGCAAAAAACAAAAGTAATCCATCAGCTTAACCATATAAGCGGACTCGCTCGTGTTTTGTTTGTGGCTGGCAAGAATTCATGATAATGGAAAACAAAGTAGTCTCCAAGGATCAACGTTGAACTTGATATGTTCCGGCGTACACAAAGCACCCATCACGCATCCGACGCACCCCTTACCCTTAGTTACATTCGCAAATAAATAAATACTTAGCATTATATCATCGCATATAGAGTAAGGAGTACACTAACGTACATACGATGCCCGGTAAGGAATGCGACTGGGTCCCCTGCTGTGGAATCTACTACATAAATACTTGATTGTCTTCGTAAATCACTCGAATACATAATTGCTGATATTTTAAGTGGATCCTAGGAGCTTCACCTCTTCATATATTTAAATCCCTGTGTTCCAAACAACGAGTAAACTTTTTATGTCGCCATATCGAACTATGCTTTTCAACCATTCCTGGCTAAACCGATTTCCTTTGTCAGCTTCCCTAAGCAGCGGATTTGGTCCCATTACTGGCTATGCAGTTGAAGTTGCGCGAATTTTACCTATCCATTCGCGCACTTTGGACAACGTAAGCGATCCATTTGCGTGATATACAGTGCGTCAAACAAATGACCAAGTTTACATTTTTTTTTTAATATTCGTAATATTTTTAATGCAAAATTTTTTTGTTACTTTTCTATAAAAATGGCATCCAAGTTTTAACTAAAAGCATGAAAATCACAGTTTCATACTTTATACAACATTTAGGAAATTTCCACAAATTTTCAACCTTTTAATCGGAATCTTTAGAAAAACATTATAGTAGGAGATCCTACAAAGGCACGACCTTCACCCATGTGCTTAATTGATGAAATCTACTTTGTATGAAATTTAACGTGTGTTGGGAAATATTTCGCGAGTAGGTTGGCTGAAAAAATCCTGGCCAGGATATTTTTAATTAAGTATTCAAAAATTATTTTCTTGTTTATATTTTGTACTCATTTGTTTAATGAACAAATTACATACGTATAAACCAATGTTTGTACATTCTATAGGCTTATTAATTTCGGTTGGTATATAATTTGTTCATTAAAGAAGTGAGTACAAAATTAAAAAAAAAAAAATAATTTTTGAGTATTTAATTCAAATATTTTGATCAGGATTTTTTTAGCCAACCCACTCGCGAAATTTTTTTATAACACGTTTAATTTCATACAAAATAGACTTCACCAATTAAACATATGGGTTAAGGTCGTGCCCTTGTCGGATCTTAGACTATTATGAATATTTAAAAAAAATCAACACGTGGTTATTTGTTTGAGTCACTGTATGTAGATCAACCTGTGTGGAGCATTGGGTCACAGCTGGATGGAATAGGCGTTGCTTTAATGGCTCACTCTGACTTCCAACGATGGCTTGTACCGCTATATAAACAATGAAGAAAACGCAAATTGCTTGAAACTTTAAGGCTCTTGAGACGACCATAAATATCATCTGGTCGCAAAATGGTTTGACATGATTTAAAGTGATCATGTTACGCAATATTAGAATTTCGAAATCAAAAATTTTATTTTTTTCGCTCCGTCCTAATGTACATATTTAACTAATTTCTTATATAGGCATTTGTGAATCTTTATAAGCTGCCATTTGTTACTGTCTGACATTAATTTGCAGTAAACTTTTTTTTTTGCTATTCCAATACTTTTTTACTCTTGTTGTTAGTATGTATGTATCTACATTTTTCTTTGTTCTGGCTGTGAATGCATGCGTGCGTGCGTGTTTGGTTGACTTTGACTTGGCCTAAACGACTTTAAAAAGGGTAAAATCAATAAAAAGCTTGTTGCTCAACACAATAATAGCAACAACTACAAACAAACTGTAAGTATAATGAATCACTACGGCTACGACTACGACTACGACTACTACAATAATAATAATAATAATCGTAAAAGCAACAAAAACGTTTGTTTGAACAATAGCTCGAAAGGAAAGCAAGCAAGCAAACAATAACAGAGCAGCCACATGTACGCAACAATATCCATGCAATACTTGTATGGGTGTGTGTATGGGTTTGTGGGTGTATTCTGCTGGTGAAGAGCGACATTTGGGGGAAAAAACACCGGTTGACATCAAATGGCAGGAAGTGTTGGTGGAAGCGGTCGACTGGCATTGCCAGTAGCTTTTTGTGATGCGAGTGACTCGAATGTGTTGTGCCTGTTTATATGTTTGTATGTATGCTTGTACGTAGTACCCACTCTAATGACTGTTATAGTACACTTGTGTGCATTGTACCACTTTTTACTACTTCATATTTGGTAGTCGGTCTGAATGTGGTCTAAACCACGTGAGTGTGTATGCAAGCGCTTGTATTCCTGTCAGTATTGAAGTTCCTATCATTTTCGGTTTGTTGTAGTGTGTGCGTACCTATGTATATACGTCTGAGACGATGTGTGCTTGTTATATGGTTGTCCTTGTAAACATTATGACTGCTTACAAATAAGTTTGTTCTTTGTGATGCTAAACTTGGGTGTCGCCTCGAGGCCTGCAGGTATAGCTGTTCAAAGGCCAAATTTTCCTTTGCCATAATTGTCGAAGTTTTTATTTTTCAAAGTACTCCATGGCATGAAAGTCAGTCAGTACGAAATTTATGCGCATAAATTTGATAGGCACCAAAAAGGAGTCACACAAATTTATTAACTCAATTTCATGCCATTTGAATTTTATTTTCGTTTAAGAAACCTAACAAAATGGAGAGAAATATTTTAAAGACAAAATGAAGACCATTGCTTCTAGGTAAAACTGACAGACTATTGAAATTGCAAGCAATTAATTTAACAAAAAAGCAGATTTTTGTAAAAATGAATCAATTTCTAAACTAACGAAAAGAATAATGAGAAAATTTACGTCAATAACAACACTGTCGCAAGGAGTCACCGTATTAGCTCATAAATATTGCTCCTTTTTTCCACGAAGACTATGCAAATCGTATTAAAAGTAAATGCAGAATTAAGATCTGTATATCGTTTTGTCGATCAGATAATTTCACAAGATATTTTGGTTTTTATGAAAAATGCAAACTTTAACAGGACAAAAATAACAGATTTGCATTAAAACCTGTTCTCTTGCAAAAAGGTCAAGCTATTAACAATGAAAATCGGTGGATAAATAAACAAGCTGTGAATGGTGAAATGAGAATCGGCAAACAATTTTTTTGTAAGAAATAGAAGCAGGAATGATGTTACTCATACGCCATATCGTACATGGCTCCTCGCGTGCATATTCGTTCATGGCGTATGAGTAATATTTTTCCATGTTAAAGTTAAAACGTTTTTCATTCGCAATACAAACGTAAAATGAAAATATCTTGGGAACAGTACCTGATCTAGAAAAACGGTATACGGATTCGTAATCTACGTTCCAAAATTCAGTTTGGGTGTCTTTGCATTTTTTTGTGTGTCATTTTAGCGTCCCTACAGAGTAATAGACAACTAGTTGTAATTTAGAAAATAGGCACATGCACATTTTTGTCATAAATAATTAGCCATTAAATAATGGACATAAATATTTGCTAATTTAAAACCTGGGAATACATTATCCATTTAAAAATCGGGCATTACTATGTCATCATTTTAAAACTTGACATGCATATTTGCTATTTTAAAAATGGGACATACATTTTCGGGCAATTCAAAAGTGGGCCTAGTGTTATGTTGGCTTAAAAGAGGTAATTTATTTTCGTACCTTAAAAACTGGGTATAACTTTTTCGTCATTTAAGAACTGGGCAGAAATATCAGATCACTAAAAACTAGGCATACATTTTATATATAAAGAAATATCCAAAATATGACGTTATTAAAGAACTGGACATAAATTTTTGGTACTCAAAAGCGGGACATTCATTTTTGGGCAATTCAAATGTGGTCATATTTTTTTGTTAACTGAAAAGTGGCCATCATTTTTGGTTGCTTAAATCCTGTGATTAATTTCTTGGTGATTTAAAAATTGGGCGCAAATATTTGCTCATGTAAAAACTGAGGATACATTTTTCATTTAAAAAACTGGTCATAAATATATCGTCGTTTAAAGTGCAAACCCGCGTATCAACAAAATGCAAAACCGCGTATCAGCAAAATGCAAAACCGCGTATGTGAAGTTGTAGAATAGATAAGGATTGAGCCAAGAGCTTGTGTGAGCAAATCCATTTTTGGGCAGCCAATGTCAGTTACGTGGTTTTGCAGAATGGCGATACGCGGTTTTGTACTTTAAACGACGATATGGTGTTTTAAAACTGAACATCAATATTTGGTCATAGTTTTTTTTTTAGCTCAAAAGGGGTCACCTTTTTTGGTAGCAATTTGGCATACATTTCCCATTTAAAAATCTGGTTATAAATATTTTGTCATTAAAAACTGTACATAAATATATGGCCATTTAAAAGCTGAACATACTTTTTTTCGAAATTCAAATACAGGCATCGTATTCTGTTAGCTTAAAAGTGGTCATAACTTTTGGTAGCTCAAAAACTGGGAAAAATTGAAAAAAATTTAATTTGTTGAAATTTTTTCTTAATTAAAAACTGGGCCTAAATTAATGGCCAATTAAAAACAGGGTATAAATTATGGATCGTTGATAAACTTTACATAAATATCTGGCTATTTAAAACTTTGGCCAAAAACTGGCCGATAATTTACGCGTAACTACAATATCTAATCAACAAACTTTGTTTACTGGGTGGTTAAAGGCGAAAAAATCATTTTTACATTGCTATTGTATTGTTGTTGCTTTACTACTTTCCACATTACTATTGTAGTTGCTACTACTATTGTTATTTTCGTTTGTCACATTGTAGTTGCCATAGGCAACGATATGTTTGAGCAAGTAACCGAAGCAATTACAAAAAAAATCACACACACATAAGTACTCAAACACAACCACTTTCACGCGAACACGCCACGCGCCAAGCATAGCAATAACCATGAAGATTGCTTCACATATCCTTAGTGGAATTTCAAGTGCGACACAAGCAGAAAAGTGAACGCAGACAAAACAGTAAACGGAGTGAATTAAATTGAAGTGCAAGTCAACAGCAGTAGCAGCAGTAAGTGAAAGAGTGCTTAGAAAAAATCGAAATCACAACAAATCAGCAGAGAGAAGAGGGAGGGAGGCGCATTAAGTGAATAAGCATACGCCTAAAAGCCCATTACGCACATACGGCACAATAGATTATCTGAACAGACAACTACTAGCAACCGGAAAAAAATCGGCAGTCGACAGAGTGTTAGGACGAAAAGGCGCAAGGACATAAAAGTTTATACTACGCAACAGAACAATTGCACAATAGAAGCGAACTGCAGAAAACGATAAAGCAAAGTAAAGTTTGAAGTGCGCGGGTGTTTTGTTGGTTGGTTGGTTTTTGAGCGTTGATTTGTGATCATCAAAACAACAACGAGCTGCACGCCGATACATTGACAGCGGCAATGGCACAGCATGCGGTCAGCAGCAGCGGCAATAATAGCAAAGCTTGGCACATCATTATAATCACATCAGCGGGACGTGTGCACTAAATAGTTACGCAAGCACTCACGCACGCACACGCACGCATTATTTGCACCACAACAACAGGCGCGCGCGCGCGCTAGTCTATTGTCATTGCCATTGTTATTGCGCTCGTGTTTGTGGTTGTTGATTTTGCTTGTTTGTTGTTTTTATTTTGTTGCTGTGCAAATCTTCGCCAACCAACTGTGATGTTTTGGTGCTTTTCACAACAATCCGCCAGATAATTCCTCGTTATTTCTGCGGACATCAGCTACGTGTCACAACGCGTTGTCCGCTCTCGTTAGTGGGCGCTTACATATATATTAGCGCGCGCGTGTGTGTGTGCGCGAGACGTTAGAAGCCACAACGTCCGACGTTGGTGCGCCGCGTGTGCGTAAAATAGCGACGGCAACCGCAACGCATTAGCGCAACACTCGACTTTCGCCGCAACGCTTCAAACAATGCTAACCTGTGTGTGTCGTCCCGTCTCGAGTAATTTGCCAAAAATGCCACCGAATATGCTGCCTGCACCGAAAGCGCCACGCAATGCCATTGCCATCGCTGGCATGGGCGTGACGCCCACTGTGGTGGTGACAGCGGAGCCCAAGCTAAATGTAAGTTGCTTATATGTACATTGGGGTGCCTCACCAAAAAAGAGTTAAAGCTTTCCAATGAAACTATAAAATTTATATATATTTTAAGGCTTCCGCCAAAATATTTTGAAATAATATTGGGATTTACACGAGCTGCGCCGACCTCAAAAAATCCCAATATTTTATTCCGTTTGCTTAAAAAGCGAAAAATTTTGCGTAAACCGCCACGCGTAAACCAAGACAGGATCATCTCGGTTCTATTTCGAAACCAGCTCGGATCTTTTTTAGGACTAGTTCAGGAATTTTTCGGCGCCATTTCGGTTCTAAAGCGCTACCATTTCGGGTCTAGGTCGGGACATAGACTTTTAAACAACAAATTTCTTGAGTACCTGGCAATCACACCATTTATGCAGACCTTCTAAGTTTGAATTCTTCGGTCATCTGAAGAGATTTTTTGTGAAAAACTTTTTTAAACTAATTTTTTTTCAGCTCTTATAATTCTAGGATGAAATATTTTGGTGAAAGTCTCAAAATAACATAGATTTTTTAATTTCGTTGGAAAAACAGTTAAGATTTTTTTTTGTGTGATGTGCAGCGAGGCAACCTAATGTATGTACATAAACATATATATTTGTTCATGCAAGCCTTAATTTGCGAAACGTGACCTACCTTCCATGCATTCTAGTTATGTTCATATCAAAGTATGTGCTTATGAAAAGAGATAGTATGTATCAGCGTTGACCACGAAGCTAATTTGCTGCAAAACCTTGGTGAAGTTCGAGTTAGCGTAAAAGTGTTCATTAAATGGATATTTCGAGCGCTATACATACACATAGACATTTGTCTACATATGTGTGTTTTATGTGCATCGATTTTCTCTACTTCACTTCCGTCCAAGGTTTTGCTGCCCTTTTTCAGCTCGTTTAATAAAAAGTGCTAATAGTCATAAGTGTGTAAGCTTAGCATACTTTGCTGCTTTGGTTCATCTTTATTTATTATGCATGTATGTAAAACTGATTACATATTCTTTTTCTGATTTTTCTCTGCTTTTCTATATTCCGCATTGTTGTATATTTTGTGAATTTTCAGTTCAGAATTAAGGCAGCTTGCATGCCATCTAGAATTATGAGTTGGTAGCAGCTAATAACGGGAAATTTCAATTCCAACGAAATTTGTGAAAATCTGTTGAAAAATCTGTGTCACGTCCATAAATAGAAAAACGAAAAATTCTTTTCCGAATGATTAGATTAGGTTAGATAAAAAGAAGGTAGCAAGTCGCATACTGATGTAGGTTCCGCTTCTGAGAATAATACTTTGTAAGAGAGACGTTTTCTTTGATTCACATATCCTTCGGTCCTTCGGCTAAGTGCCACTTAAGTCGTACACGTTTAGGTATCGGGATCCTACCGGCCGATTTGGCTGAGTGGTTAGAGTTGCCTACTATCACTCAGTAAGAAAAAGTTTGTTCTTATAGAGGTTGCCCCTGTCTGACTGTAGGTTCCTCCATTTTTGTAACAACATCAAGACGCACACAACAAGTAGAAGGGAAAGCTCGGCCAAACACTTAGCAAAAAGTGTAAGCGCCAAAATATTATTATTATTTTTATCTTTATCCTAGGAAGCGAAGTCTAACCTTAGTAAGGCTCCAGAGTACCTCCAAATGTGCTCTGCTATTTCCTGTTCTTCTTGACACAACTTGCACTGGCCAAAGCTAAAAACTCGCATGCCTCAAAGTTGTGGAATTACCCTTAAAGGGCCAGTAGGAAAGTCTGTAACAATTTTATCTTCCTGCCTATTAAGGCGAAGGAATACTTATGTTCTCTTTGGTGATGTTTCTGGGATGAAAAACCCATACAGGGTCCCGTGACTACATAAGAACTCCTGTGTAGCCCCTTTTCTGGCAAGAATACTGGATGCAATGAGTATTAACAACTATTGGCTGTCCCACACTAGCTTTGAGGTAATCTTGTGCTCCGCTATCTCTGGGATTGATGTCAAGGCTTCCAGTCACATAAATTTCATGGCCCCGTGGAGATTATATCAGATTTAATTTCCACGCAGATCCATAAGACATAGAGACATCTCTACTACACCTTCTAGTCGAATTTGATGCCATTCCAGTATACAAGAAAGGAACTTAGACCTAATATGGCCTCAGTACGAGCACATTTACTCTGTAGCTTCTAAAGCTCTTCTGCACTACTACTTGAGGTCATTAAGCCTAACAAAAGTGCCGTGGAGAGAAGAAGGCAACGAAAAACCCTCAGGTCACAGTGCACATCTCATATTATAACCAACATCTTTCTAACCGCGTATGCTTTTAGTGCGAGAAGTGCCGCTATGCTGTCCAAATTCAGTGGCATGCACCTCGACCTGAGAGAAAGAGTTATATTCATGCTAGTGAAAAGTAGCCTTCTGGGTTTTATTCCCTAGGCTTCTGCATACTAGATGTATTTTTCCTTCCCGAGTTTGGGTATTGACCCTGCTGGGAAGAAATACCTTGGAGTTACATTTGTGCGAAGCTTTTATTTTATAACTACTATGTAGGTTCGCTTTATAAATATTGGGCATTCAGTTAGCACCTATGTAGATACCAATAAGTCATTTATAAAAACGTACTTGGAAAATTTATTAATTTTTAATATTTTCGGAGTTGAATGACTATTATACTTCTCTATTAAGCTTTGTTAAGCTTTGATTTTGTTTTGTAAGACGTACTTAGGATAGCTAAAGTGTCTTACAATCGATTTACATGATTAAAGCACTTGAAAGCGATTCTTACTCATTCTCTTTTGTATTTTCTGTTTGCTTTTACACGCTTCAATTCTATTGAATTAAAGTTTTTGGTTCTTTAGGTATATGGAAAACAACGAAAATGTCAAAAGCAAAGCAAGAAAATTTAAACAACGTGACGGTACAGACGCATGTGTACTCGTCCCTTTTCTTCTCACCCCCTCTCTTCCAAATGCGAGCAGAATTGAATTCAATACTTGAACTGTGTAAAAGCAGTCTTACAGTCAAAAGTGATAAAATTACTCATACGACCTGTTGCACCATAGTAATGAAAAGATATGCATCTATATACATAAGAAGAGGAAATGACTCTTCAAGGCATTAACGGATTGCTACTGAGATCTTTGTTTTTAAGTATCATAAAATAAAGAAAGAAAACACAAAAGTCACTCATACGACTCACTAACACACTTGATCCTTTTTAGGCAGTTTTCTTTTACTTGTTTTTTTTTTTCATACGGCTACAATCAATAAATTCCTTATATTATAGCCTTTTTATAAGAACCCTGGTATTTTATTTCACAGTTCATAAATTCTTTAGATTTTTATTATAAAAATATATTAAACCGTGCGACAAAAAACCAAAAAATTTTAAAACACGCGAAAAAATTAATATGTTTACAAAGGATTGGGTAAATTATAGTGCAACTGCGTTTTAAGTTTTCCCTCTGATGTTAGGATTTTCTTTTAAAGGTTAAAGTTACTATTAATACCAAAAATTATTTAAAAAATGCAGTGCAATGTGGAATAACAATATGGTCCATATGAAAGAGAAAATTCGTTAGGATTAAAATTTTTAGGTCAAAAGGACGAATAGCTGTTGCAAAAGCCTTTTTAATTATTTTTAGAGCTAATAAAATTACTAGGATTATTAGATATAGGATGTATTAATCTTTAACATGTAATTTTTTTTTAATTTATTTTGCAAATTTTCTAGAATTTACAAGGGTATAATTTTTTAATGACATTTGTAATACTTATTCGTCCTTATACATGAAAAAATTACCTTTTTTAATTCGACAAGCGATCCTCTACTGGCCCAGCACGTTATCCTTATCCGCCGCATACGCCGTGGAGGTCGAGCGAAAAATCGTCGTCTTCATCACCGTTGGATACGTTGTTTATTTTAAGTTCCTTTAAAAAAAATTTACTGCAAACAGACACACTCATAGCTATAGAGAAGTTATTTACTCCCCATGGAAGTCAATTAATGTAAAAGTTTTGTGCTCAATTTTAGCCCGCCAAGTAAACTTACCCCAATCGCTGTCACTTAATTCCCACCAATTACTTTATTATATTAATTTTACTTTTTATTGTTGTTTAAATTGCTTTTGATTGATTGACTTGCAGCTTACTTTTTATATACATACGTAGTTATTATTACAGCTTATTGCTCGGTTCATAATTCCGACGCACAATATTTTCATTAAACGTATTTTCATTTTCTCTTTCCTTTCCTTATCTCTTCTCATTTCATTTATGCTGCGGCGCCGCCACCACGCGAATCACAACAATGATTTAATGAACGTCAATGCGTTTGCTCCTGCAACATTTACACACACGCGCACACACGCACACACGCACTCGCAAATCTGGGCTTATCAACGTCAACATCAACGGCAATGCCATCATCAACTGTGCGCCAACTACGCCACCATTACTATCGCTATCAACATCAATAAAATTCAAATTGAATTCACGCATTCGCGCTTCGCCAAATTGCCTACCACCTGCCAAACCACCACCGTCATCGTCCGCCCACTGCTGATATTTTCACAACGATTCTTTTTGCTAATGAAATTAACATTCTTCCACCCGCAACTCTCATCCCATCCCTGCATACCTGTGCACGCTTGTGCCAACAACTGACTCCCATCCTCATACATACATATATATATCTGTATATATATAGGTGCCTGGCAGGCTGACATCAGCCGAATTACGGGCGATGGCATTGCGACAACAACAGCAAATCGACTCACAACACCAGCTGTTGGCCACCAAGGAACAACGTTTGCGTTTCCTCAAATCGCAAGAGGTACGCAATGCGGTTGCCAGCGCTGAAGGTGAACGCCTACGACGCTTGCGAGAGCGTGTTGAAGCGCAGGAATCCAAACTGCGACGCTTGCGTGCGCTCCGAGGTCAAGTGGACTTACAGAAGACTTACAATGTTACGCTGAGTAAGTACCAAACACGGCAAAGGAATGAAAATGTGTGAATGGTTTGGTGAAAAATACAATTTTGTATGTATGTATGCGTGTATGTGTGCGTCGGAATGGCAAGCGTGTATGCAAAGTGGCTGTTATTATGCGCTGTAATAAACATATTTATTTGCCTGCTGTCAGTAGCTTTTTTGCTTGGTTGCGCGTTGTACATTTGAGCTTTTGTGGGATTTTGTGCTGAGTGCGGTACACATGCGCTCTTGGCGCCGTTTGCCACTAACCGCCCTTGGCTGGTGCAGCACGGCGACCGCATGCCTCTAACCTTCTAACAACTTGTCATACGCCAGCGGGCACACAGCGGCCACGTTGAGTAGCCATGGCAGTTATGACGGCAAAAATCCCCATAGCACAGTTTTCGGCAAATTGGACATGCAAAAGTGCTTTGGTCAGACGTTCCACGATGCAGAGTATTTTAAGTGAGCGAGTATGTGCTAGCTAGCAAAGGTTAGGGTCAAAGTCAGCGTCAAAATCATAAACAGAAACAACCTAGTAGACGTTACCCGCGAAGCGAGAAATTCATGATTTGCATTTTGCAAAGTTATGAAAATTTAATTTTCTGCCTCTAAGTTGTTTTTGCGTTTCTCTATTCCTTTCTGCGCTATCACTTCCTGCTTTTGACGCTCGACAGCAGAACGCTTCCTGCCATTGCTGCTCCTTCTATTCATTTGTGTTGTTGCTACAGCAGGATTATGCTGCTGGCTCTTAGCATTGTTCAACATCATGTTCCTCAACGGTAATTGGATTTGTTAGTTAGGCAGATGGCGCTATATGCCCTTACCCCATACATCGTCATTACGGCGCGCGTGCCCTAATATTACTCACACACACTAATCTTCGTGCTCTGCAGACGCTACTCATCAAATTTTACATTCCATCATGCCACTTCTCGTTCAACAGATAGCATATATATAGCATGTGTAGCATCTGCTTGATGTGCTGCGGACAGCACTTGAACCTCAACACCAGTACACGAATGCTTAGGTAGACGAAATCCTTGCTAAGCGGATTATAACCGGCACGGCACGACGCGCATTCACAGCTCGTCAGCGCTAGCCTGCTTGCCGCTTGCCGAAGCAAAAAAGTATTCAACGTTTTCTTTGAGTAAAATTAGTGAACTTTAGTTTCATATTTGCATACATACATATACCCATTCCCGCAAGTCTACCGCTGCCAATGATATCTAACTACGCTGTGACCTTACGCCAAACGTCGTACAGCTGACTATTTATTATTAGTTAGGCACTGTGGGGTGCGAGGCGAGCGCGACTGGATTATGGGTTGCTACAGCCGCCACAAATTGGGATTTGCCATCACCAACTCCGTTCGTAATACCTTTAAAGCTGTTAACTAATTAAAATGTTAATGGCGGTTGACGAGTATTCAAAAGCGAAAGCGGCGGTTAAAACTTTTCTCTGATATGATGTGGTATTAATTTATGCAACGTGTTCTGGTACAGTCAACATGGGTCTGTCAGTAGGTGCGCGCATTTAGTGGGCACTAAATAGCTATTATGTAGCTGAGCGGCTCGCCATATAATAATTTTCGTGTGAATATGGGAAAAGTTTTGGTATTTTGGGGTTCGTGACTTGAAAGCGTTAAAATTAAATGTATTAAGTTATACGTCCCATTAAGTTGTAATTACTGGAATGCTTGGGCGGGTTAGGTATACCGAATGCTAGGCGTCGTAAAGCTTTAGTAAGTATATTTATGCGATCGTGTAAAGATTTCTACGCTGATTGAAGCCATTAAATAGGAAATGTGATGTGGTTAAAAGGCACTGCTGCTATCCTCCACGTTTACTGAAAACTGTAGTGTACGCGCGGTAAAAAAAAAATACAAAAATTATTAAATAGAAAGCCACCAGCCGACTTAATGCTCCTCTAAGTACTATAGTGGCAGGACCACAGCTGCAAACTATCTTTAGCTATTAGGTTTCGTATTGGCTATAAATAGGTTTAGTCTTCTCCGCTACTTTCAGTGCTGCTGCTATTCAGTAGGACGGAAAAGTCTCCCCCTTCATAATTTAAGCACGTTGCGGACTTCGGTCACTAGGTCGTTATTGTTGTTCTTACAAAAGTTCGCCCTGGTCTTGAAACCTTCCGTAAGTCGCCTAACTGTCTGACAAAATTTTCGGGCTTTTTTCCTCTCGGCCAGCATTTTAAGCTCTTCGCACTTCCGAGTTTCGGACTCTCTCTTCTTTTTTCGGCAAATACGTATCGCTTCCCTCTTCAACTTCCTATATCGATCCCTTACAGCTCACATTCCGTGCTATTGCAGCGTATCCCTGTAGGTGGCATCTTTTTTCTCTGCAGCTTCGTCACATTCCTCATCGTACCAGTTGTTCATTTGAGCTCGCTGAAATCTGACTACTTCCTTGGCGGCGGTACGTAAGGAGCAGGAAATGTGGTTCCACTGCTCTTACATGTTGGTTTGATGAGGAGGTGTCTCTGAGAGCATGAGATGTGAGAGTCGATTGGCGAATAAACTGGCTACCTACTGCGATTGTAGCTTTTCGATGGGCTTTCCTTGCATTGTTGGACGCACATTTTTTGCTACGCAGAGGCGGGTGCGTATCTTGGCTGCAACAAGATAGTGGTTCGAGTCGATGTGTGGCCCTCCGAATGTACGCACGTCTACAATATTGGAAGCGTGCCTTCAATCTGTTACAACATGATCGATTTGTCTTCGCTTTTTTCGAACTAGACACAGCCATGTAGCTTGATGGGTCCTTTTATGCTCGAATCTAGTACCGCGTACTACCATATTTCAAGCCCCCCTGGTGAAGTCTATCAGCCTCAGTTCGTTATCGGATGTTTTGTCGCAGGCACTGAGTTTTCTGAATGTGGGGCCAAAGATCCCTTCATTTCCCACCATGGCATTGCACCTTGTGGACGAAAATTTGCAAGATGTTGAAGAATCTCGATTTGATGAGAATTGTGTGTGCGGGTCGAACGACAGTACTCGGCGACGGAGTCTCTATCCGACTCAAAATCCAACAGCGAGTTCGCGCTCCTTTACGTGGCAGCTGTAGTAAACATGGCAAGGTCCAACCCATTTTTTGCCAACAGCCGGGTATGGACATCTTCCGCATTAAGGGTCTGAATATTCCAATTGCATGCCCTCAAATCATAGCCCTTTAAATATCCGAGATGGTGCGAGCCGAAAAATCAATGCACAGGATGAACAAGAGCACTTTGCTGTCGTATTTGCTTTCAGGGCATTTGCATTTTATGGAAAATAATGCTAATAGGTGGTTTACTATTTCCTACACTTTTCCTCCAAAAATATGAATTTTGGTGGTATCGTCTACAGCTCTGCCATTTGTATCTCATTATAGCTTTTACAAATTACCAATTTTCATCAGATTTCAGCATTTTGTAGAACTGTACGTAGTTGTAAATCAAATGCAAAACCTATTTTTACCATAGGCAACGATCTGGACTCGATTCGTGCACTCTTCAGCGAGAAGGAGAAAGAGCTTAGTTTGGCGGTGGCGAAAGTCGAGGCGCTTACTCGACAACTGGAGGAATTAAGACGCGAACGTCGCTGTCCCATAAATCTGCTAACTTCTGGTGGCAACAACGGCAATGCGCAGCCACTGCCGCCACAAGCATCAAGAGAACTGGAGAAGCTACGCCGTGAACTGGTGGTAAGTCACGATGAAGTGAGACCCCTTTGCCTAACTCACATCTCCTTCATTAAAAATTCTCTCAACCCAATTTTTAGTATCGTAACCAGTTGTCGCTGCAACAAGATGCACGCCTGCATCTACAACGTGAAGCATTGCAACAGCGACAGGCTGAGCTGCGCTCAGTTGACCAACGTATTTACGAGCTACAGACACGGCTGCAACGCAAAAAAGCCGCCAACATACAAAATAATGCGCAAAATCAAAATCAACTACACTTGCCAACGCACGACATGCACCAGCAACAACAACAACAACAACAGCAGCAGCAGCAACAACACCAACAATCTGCATCACAGCTGCATCAGTCACACCAACCACCGGCGCATGCCTACAACCACCAAAACACCAATGTTGCCTATAACAACCACAAACAACAAAACAGTCAACACAAACAGGGCGTGGCAGCGCTCAAGCAGCAATTGTTGCAGAAGCAAGCGAATAATCTGCTAACTGCTGCACAACAACAACACAACTCCTCCAAGTTCCCGAATAGTATCAATCGTGAGCCGAGTCGGAGCATACCACGCGGCAATGTGGCCGCCGTTGAGCCATACATACACACGCCGCAGAAGTCAGCGCCCGGTGGCGGTTACTTGGGCGCAGGCAATATACTGAAACACGCAGCCGCCACGGCCAACACCAATCAGCAAAATCAGCTGATACAGGACTTGACACACATGAAGCTCAACCTGACTGCTGGAACGCACAGTCCACAAGGCGGCGCCGCCGCCAATGTACATGCGCTCAACAGCGGCGGCGCGATTGCCACAAACGCGCAAGCATTCTTCAGCGGCGAAAGCGACGAATCAAAACTGGCGAAGAAAATGCTGACCGCATCGCTGGCGGCCAATAAGAGCGCAGAGCAACCTAAGCCGGTGGAAGTGGACACATCGATGCATATCTACGCTGAAGTGGGCCCAAAGAAGCGTGACCTGCTGAAGGCAGCGGAAGCGGCCAAAGCCGCAGAGGCAGCTGCGCGCGCTGCTGAGGCGGCAGCTGCAATTGCCTCCACAACTACAACAAGCGCCATTACTACCGCCACAACTACAATCGGTAGTAAAATACCGAAGAGCATCGGCTCCGCCACCTCGGCCACCGCCATGATCAGCAAATTGAATAGCGCAGCGGCATCTGTCAGGGAACGCAACGAACTGGAGCGCAGATGCGAAGGCGCCGCTAGCGAAGCGCTACCCGAAAAGCACAATCAACAACAACAGCAACAACTGACTGTACATAGCATGCCGCTGGGCGCTGCTAACAAGTCACTCGCTACCGGTGTTGCGCATGCGAGCGCGTCAGCGACAACAACCACAAGCACTACCAGCGGACCGGATAGCGTGCATGCGAAACCGAAGCCGCTGCAAGCACATGCTTCCGGTGGGCTGGCGATTCCGCCGCGCAAGCCCATTAGCAGTGTGGCGCCCACCTCAGTGACCAGCTCGATACCGAAAATGATCACCTACAGTCCGAAGGTGAACCGCGTTGCGCCTCACGTGGTGTCTGCCACAGCGACAGCGACAATAACTGCAGCGGCGCCGACAGCTAACTCGGCGTATCCCGACCGACCCGCTCTGCCACCTAAGCCAAGCAAAATATCACCCACAGAGCATGTCAGTGATCACAGCACGAGCGCCGCTTCAAACTTAACGACTGCAACAACAACAACTTCGTCAACATCGATGCTGAAGAAGCCTGCCGTGCATGCGGCATCCATAGCAGCCGCCGCCGCTGCCGCTGCTGAATTACAACAAGCTACACAAGGTTTGCAAACGCTCAACATCAACGATAATCTACCGATCAAAGCGAAACCGCTAACAATCCGCAAGCAGCCTATGTGCGAGCAACCACGTCTCAAGCTTGGTAATAGCGTGCCCAAGCCGCCGTTACAAGCTACGCGTAAAGTGGAACCACCAGCTGGAGCATCTTTTCTCTATCCTGCGGATGGCAGTTACAAAGGCGAGCGCAGCAAAGATGCACAAGAAATCGGTAATGGTGGTGGAGCGCCTAGTAGCAGTACAACGAGCAGCATGAATAACAATCGCTCGGCCACAGCTAACAGCGTCACATCTTCGGACGCCTCTTCACCCGAGCAGCCGCCACAGTATTCGCCACCACAAGTGCCGTCAGCAGCAGCAAACGCTCCACCGCAACATTCGCCCAACAGCAATTCGCAATCCAGTTCCAGCATGGATGAACTGGACAAAATTGAGCGCAATAGTGAAGGCGTAAGCGGCAGTGAAACCATCACCGACACTAGCAGCGGCCCAAAGCGACGCGCCGCTTCTACCGGCAGCGCGCCAACAACTTCTTCACTCTCATCGGCGGCAACCAGCAATGGCAAACCAAAGCTGGCGCGCCGTGTAAGCTTCGATCCGCTGGCTCTGCTGCTCGACGCCAGCTTGGAGGGCGAGTTGGAGTTGGTGAAGAAGACAGCAATGCAGGTGGCAAATCCTAGCGCAGCCAATGATGAGGGCATCACTGCGTTGCATAATGCCATTTGTGCGGGTCATTTTGACATAGTCAAGTGAGTGGCATTGAGAATCTTGGTTTTTTTTTTAGATATATTGTGGTCTCCGTACTTTACAGGTTCCTCGTCGAATTTGGCTGCGATGTGAATGCACAAGATTCCGATGGCTGGACGCCACTGCATTGTGCGGCTAGTTGCAACAATTTGTCTATGGTGAAGTTCTTAGTTGAGAATGGCGCTTGCCTATTTGCTTCGACGCTGTCCGACCATGAAACGCCAGCGGAGAAGTGCGAAGAAGACGAGGAGGGCTTCGATGGTTGCTCCGAATACTTATACAGTAAGTTTGTGGCAGCTTGTGCGCGTTTAGTGAATGCATCAAACTCATTGTTATACCCTTCTTCTTCTGCAGGTATTCAAGAGAAACTTGGTATACTTCATAATGGCGAAGTGTATGCAGTGTTCTCGTACGATGCTCAAAACAGCGACGAACTTACATTCCAAGTCAACGATCGTTTGGTTATCCTGCGAAAGGGCGACGACGCCGAAAGTGAATGGTGGTGGGCAAAGAATGCGAACGATGGGGAGGGCTATGTGCCCAGAAATCTGCTGGGGGTGAGTTTGAAAAAGAAAATATATATATATTTATAAATTTGTAAAAGTAGCAGGTAAAACGGGTATGGGTTTTCTACAATTTCATGCCTGGGGTTTGATAATACGATTACTTCTGTCCAAACACTGTATTTTCGTATTCTTGAGAGGAAACTCCAACCTCTCCCTCGTATCGATTCTTCAAAACAGTTATTAAAGCCTCTTGACCAAATAAATTTTCTCAGATTTTGACCTTTTTTACGGTCACATTCAAACAGAGAGAGAACTGCAAAGCTAAAGAGACCTCAACAATAGCTTTTCTCATTATGTAGTGACGAAGAAGAGCCTGAAGTAGCCAGAGCTTTATGCATGCGTATGCTTAAACCAAATTTATCGAAAGTTTAAGGAAGCTATGCGCGCGGTGAGGATGATGCGTATCAACGATCTAAACCAGTCTTGAGACATGACCAAAACATATCCCGCGGGCACAGTTTTCAAAAGCTTGCTATATATTTTATGTGCACTCCCAGAGAGCAAAAGCTCTCTCTGATCATCACCGGCCTAAGCAGGAAAGGTATGAGCGCCCGCTATCTGCTCGGGTCCATCGTACTCCTTTTACTGAGCTCTCACTTCGCACGAGTATAAAAACACGCAACCTTTAAATTTTTTTAGTATGTGCTTAGGTAGGGTTATATAAGATGGGTTGCTGCTGTAGAAAGATCAATCGGTGGCAAAGAAGATATTTCATTAACCTTAGCGCTATATCCCAATTGTGCAGACCTTATGACAGGTATTAAACGGTTTTTTTTTTATCGATCTAAAACATTTTGGTGCAAATTTCTTTAATGTATCTTACTGCTCATCGCTAGCTGACTGTTACCCACTTTTCTGGTATCGCTTGGATTCCGCGACAATAAAACTACCCGTCATTGGAGACCAATAAAGTTCAAAGCCAATTTTAAAAATACATTTAATTGAAGTGAAATGTACTCCCGAAAGGGCGTTCTGCATCAACCGGAACAATTGGTAGTCTGATGGTGCAAGATATGGACCAAATGGTAGGTGGATTAGGACTTTCCATCCGGTACCACCAAGATTTGTTTGGACCACTTGTGTGGCTTGCGGCCGTACATTGTTATGGTGATAAAGATTGTTGAAATCCTAGACCTTCACAGAAACAATTTGGAATATTTAAAGTACACTACTCCAACCCAAGCGCTCAAACTTAAAAATGGAAATACAGTAGTTGTAAATAAAATAAACTTAAATCCATATTAGTCTTAACTGGCTGTATGGTGGAGTGATCTGCATTAGTTAAAAGGTTACAATGGATGAAATAGATCTTCTTTACACAAATCGCTCCAAGGTAATATTTAATGCCAATTTACTTTATTTCGAACCAGTATGCGAAATAGAGTCAATGGACCTCTTGTTACCTATCACCGTTAAAAAAGATGTGTTTTGTCGGGTACTCTCCGTAGATCTGAAGTTTAAGTCGAAAGTGGTTGGGGAATACCTACATAGGTCGCCTGAGAAGGCTTTCAAGTCAGGCTGGTTTGGATATTAAGCCAAATCGATATTACAGGATTCTATAGGGCAATTTAATTTGCTAGGCAAGGCAACCTAGCGATTATCTCCCTTGACTTATCCCTGAAAATATGTTCTTGTAGCGGACTCGGAATGCAAGGTTTTGAGGTAAGCACTTCTGTTGGGCGACTGATATCTTGGAACAATCCAAGCATTTGCTTCTCAGCTGTTCTTCCTTTGCTAGGCTAGGTATTAAAAATTATATTCAATGCTATCCCAATGTGCAATAAAAACTACGTCAAAATGTGTCCCACGCCGGGCTACCACTTACTCTAACCTAAGCGAAACCAAGCAAATATATATTAGGGTATACCCGTACATATTGGGTTCCACTACATATGTATTTTGTTTGGAAATTAAATAGTATTTTTTAGAGTTTTATGTATATTGAAAAATCCGATTTCTTATTTGTTTGAATGTATCTTATCTCTGTTTTTTTTCGTTACAGCTCTATCCAAGAGTCCCACCACAGACTTCCAACTTCAACGATTAGCAGTTAATACGATTTTATGTATGCAAAAAGAAATCGGGTCGTCTCATACAAAAGCACTACATTTCCAAGTACTTGTAATGTTCGTTACCTTCTGGACTAAATACTATAATTGCAAATGGCAAGGCAGGCAAGGTTTTGGATGTACTCGTAGTTAATTGGAAAAGGCGTGCAACGAAACTCTTGAAGAGTTATGAGAAAATATAACGCTCGACACTGACAAACGAAGCATTTTATTTTTACTTAAAAATTGTATTTCAATATAACGTTAAAGGCAGCTTATATAAGATGTAATTACTTACTTAGTTGTAACTAATTTAAGAATTTCTAAAGTAACTATGACAGCATATATTTTTTTCATTGCTGTCGCATAAAAGTGTCCATAGAATGTGCAACATTGATATTTAAGTGCTTACATAAGTTTTCTACATACTAACTACTATACATATGTATATGGTATGTTTGTATATAAATAAATACATACATATGTATGTATGTATGGTTAAGAAAAACACATATCTACAATGCGTGAAATTCACACACACACACACACACACATATATATATATATATATGTACTACATACTTCTAAAAACCGCTAAAACATTAAAATTAACAGTAAAACATAATAAACAAAAACAAAAAAAAAACAAACAAACAAAGACATTTAATTACCAGAATACCTGAGTTTGTATGAATAGGAAAGAAGGTATCCTGATGCTTTTTTTTTAGTTTTGATCGAAGTCTTTTTTTAGGCATTTCACGAGTTTCTCAAAATATAAATTTGCGTGATGACATCTTGGTTGCATTTTAAGCGTTGCGCCTATGTTATAGCACGCACTGGCGGATGTAATACAGTGGCGGATTTACCGTAAAGGCAACATAAGCAGGTGCCTAAGGCGGCAAAATTAAAGGGCGGCAAAATTTGAGTTAAAAAGAAAACATTTTTTTTTCAATTTAGCTGCACTGAAAGTAACATAATATAAATTTGAGATTCAATTACACAATCAAAAAATAGGACAACACTGTTAGGTATTTTTAATATTATTTAAATGATAATATTTAAAAATACTAATTAAGTATTTTTGAGATTATAACTTATCAAGTGAAAAAAGTTTGTTGATGGCTTTCTTTAAAATTTGAAAACCTTTACTCAAGGCAAATACCACTTTTTTTTCTTAAAAGTTTAGTAAATAATATAAACTTTAATATTACTATTTACTGCTAGTCGTTCCAAAACTGGTACTTTCACCTCAAAATATTTTCCTCATCGGAAAAAGGGCGGCAAATTCTGAATTGCCTCGGGGTGAAAAATATTCAAATCCGCCACTGCATACATATGTTTTTGGTAATTTGATTTGAAGACTTAAAATTTTCCAGCATATTGAATGAGTTTAAGCGCGTCGTCCTTCTGTTTCAGACTCATTTTTTTAGCGTCCCCCAAGAACGACAGTTGCGCCAAAACACACATCGATGTTGCGCGTAAACAATTTTTTTTTTCTGCGATGACGCCCGTGAAGAGCTCATGAGTGCTATTGTGCCGGTGCACGACTGGTTGAGTTATGCACAACAATACATATACATACTTTCTGCTAGGCTTGGAAGAATTGAAGGAAACCAACTGCCGATTGAGGATTATATTTACGTACTCCATAACAGCAAAAACAGTGCGACAAATTTCGAAAAGTTGTAGAGGAAGTGAGTTGGACAAACTGCATTCGATTAAGCATGTCAAATGATGAAAATGTTGCAAGGGATTTGAAAAAGTTGTTTACAATTTCTGTTTCTCTATTTGAATTTGGAGATGTAAGATCCCAAAATGACATATCATTTTATAATCTATAATTTTACTTTAACTATTTTACAATTTTCTCATTTAAATCAAAGAAAATACTTACTCGCGACAAATAAATTATAATAAAAATATTTTCACTTATGGGCCGTATGAATTAAAATTAAGCAATTGTTTTTTGCTTGTGCAAATTGCAGGGAAAGTAGCAATTTTGAAGAAACTCGATTATTCTATTGCTCTTAATAAATGTTACATAATAAAACTAGTTTAAAATAATTGTAGGGCTCCCCCAAATCGAAGAAAAATTTCCCATGAAATAAATTTAAATGTTAAAAAAAAGATTGTTAAACCAAAATTACATTTTTTTAAATTTTTAGGTATACGGCTTTATAACTCATTAAATTCTAGCATCGTAAAGTGAAAATTTCTAAAAGTTTTTAAGAGTTTGAGCTGATTTTTTAAATTTTTTTCTGAAGTGCCTACCTTAACTTTTTGTAAAAATTATGAAAATGACATTTGAAATTCTTGTAAGGTGAGTTATACACAGTTATTCTTCAACGAAAAATAAAAATCAAATTATTATGATACAAATTATAACATATCCTATCACTTATTTGTCTATTAAAATTATAGCAGTTTTGTTGAATGCCTTCATTTCTTGAGATTTCGGCAAAATCTTTTGCTATATGTACATAACTATTTTTTGAAAAAAAAAAATGTTTGCATAAGTCCCATTGCCTTTCATTATACATACATATGCATGATATATGTATATGTAGTATAGAAGTATGTATGCATCAAGTTAATAACAAACAAATAATCGACATAGGTAGCTCTTTGTAATTGCTTGTATGTATGAATGCATACACATACAGTCAGTCAATAAAGTTTAGGTACAGCGAATTTTTTACAATACGGGCAACTATTTTTTAAATATTTTCTTTTTCGCTAATTTTTTATAAAAATATGGTTAATTCTACAACAAAAACCCCAAAAAGAAAATTAAATTAAAGAAAATTCTGCAAAATTTCATTCAAATATTGCACTTTTTATTTACGCTCTCTGTAATAAAGTGCAAGTATGAGGAAGCTAGGACTTACCATTGATTTTTGGGAAATTTTTTTGTTGAAGGTGTCGCACATTTTTTCGATATAAAAAAATTATCAAACATTATTATATATGGAGAAAATGAGCGACACCTTCAACAACAAAAATTCCTAAAAATCAATGGTAAGTCCTAGCCACCACAAACTTGCACTTTGTTATACTAAAATTGAATGGGCTAAAAAACTGCATACTCAACTTCTTTCTAGAGAGCGTAAATAAAAAGTGCAATATTTGAATGAAATTTTGCGGAATTTTCTTTAATTTTGCACAACGTTCGGAACCCTGATTTTTGTTGTAGAATTGACCATATTTTTATAAAAAATTATCGAAAAATAAAATATTTAAAAAATAGTTGCCCGTATTGTAAAAGATTCGCTGTACCTAAACTTTATTGACTGAGACTGTATCAATATAAAATAAGCTTTCGGCAACGAAATCGAAATTTAATGGACCTTACCAATAACAAGTTTGCCTAATTAATGTGATTTTTATAAGTATTCCTGCATACATATAGAAAAACTGTTAACACTCGCACTCGATTGCAAATCCACTATAATTATATATGTGTAATACTTGCATATAACGATCTTTCACTTCACCCAATGCTAAACTACATATGCATGTACATATATGCTCCAATAACCCACAATAATATTTTCACGTATTGTCTAAAAAATAAATACTTATATAGAAACAAATAAAATAAAAAAACGCTAATAAAAGTTACATATGGAAATCCTTAAAAATGGTGTTTTTTATTAAAATTAGTGACTTAAAAAAAAAATTTAGAAAGGAATAAGTTTGCAATACATTTATTGTTAATTTTGGAATTAATTGCTTAGTTCATTTATCACTGGTAAAATTAGCTTGCTCTTAATAAAAGTCTCAATTTCAATCTGAATATAAATTCTTATCTGTTTCTTTATCTTAATCTTAATTTTTACCGTCAAGTATTTCTGCTCCGGTGGCTGTCCCACAATGTCGCGAGTCTGGCAAAATTCTAAAACGGAAAATTTTCAATTCTGTGCCAACTGACTGGAAACGCGGAATGATGCAGAGTCTTCCACCACCTAGTCGTTCCATCGCAGGGGTGGCGTTCCACCTCCTTTGCTACAAAATCGCCTGGAATGACTAAGTCAGTGTAGTCGCTGCATTTTTAATCCACTAAACTAGGTCTATTGGTATGTCGTTGTAAATCCATGGCGAACACTCCAAGAGCCGCCGCATTCGATAATGAGATTGCTGATGTTTCTGCGCCATATATACCAGCACTGCCATGATGCCAAACCCAAAGAGTGCAGTTTTGTACGAAGAGAGTGCGCGGTTTTCTCAATATTTTACTCAGTCCAGAATAGCACTTGTTAGCAATTTCAAGGTTACAATTATTTTTTTGGTGTTAAATTTCTCAACTTTTTTCGAAATTATTGATGCCAAGAGTGACATGAGTTTTGAGGTGCGTCTGCGCTGAAAATTTGCTTGACGACAGAATATACATACATACATACACATATCGTATTGTCCTCTCTTACAAGTTGCCGTATAAGTACGGTTACCATCCGTTCTGTTATTTGCAGGACCGTACTGTTTTTCAAAGGTCGGTCCTGCGTAGGTTTCCAAACCTGAAAATGTACTGCTTTTTTCCAAGTGTCCTGCATTTGTCCCGCATTTTATCCGTTATTTTAAAATTATCGGACAAAGGATGGATTTTTTCAAAAAAGTGTTTCTTGGTACTTTTCGTAGCTTTTCTTCAATATCTCATGACAAAATCTCCCAATCAACGTAAGCGACTTACATCTCGAAGGGTATTGATGTGCCTCCTACCAAAATATATAACTTGTGGCGACTTCAATGAAAATTATTAGTGCTACAGGCGACCATTTGCATCTTGTCGTCAAAGTCGAAAAAAGTGAGATTTTCAATCAGATACGAAGTTTTATTTGATTATTTTTTTCATTAGTTTAAAAATTCGATAAAGAAGATATATCATTACAGTATATTTTGAGCCAAAGATAATGAAAATCGGATTAGAAATGTAAATGCAATGAAGTGCAATCTGCACAAATTATATATCTTTGTAAAGGGCACATAAATACCTTTGTAACTCGTCGTTTAAGTCGATTTATGACGTCGATTTTTAACAAATAACTGCGAAAGGTACAAAAAACAAAAAAACGGGTATTATTTTCGTTTTGAACGACTCAAAATTTGCCTATAAAATAATAATCTTTTACTATACTTTTATTAATATTCATGTAAAAAAAGATTAAAATCGATGAAGAAAACGTGATTCGTTTTTAAAGTTTAAATTGTATTAAGAATTTTGAATCATAAATACTCTTTTGATAGTTTTATACTACAT